CCTTGACCTGCTGGGCTCCGGCGATCCTTCCGCCTCAGCCTTCTGAGTAGCTGGAATTACAGGCGCGCGCTACCACACCCAGCTAATTTTTTTATTTTATTGTAGAGATGAGGTCTCACCTGACCAGGCGGGTCTCGAACCCGCGAGCTCAGGCAATCTGCTCACCTCAGCCTCCCAAAGGCGCGGGATTACAGGCTGATCCACCGAGCCCAGCTAGTGTGGCCACTTTCAGTAAGTGGCTATAGACTACGGCGGCAAACATCTCTTTGGGGCCATTTACTATGCTTCTGAAAAATCTCCTTTACTTGCTGCATATGATTTTGCTTGTTACTTACACCTCACCAGCCCCATAGTTTTATACATTCTTGTAAGTTGCCTTAGATTTCTCCTGAAAAGAACAAAGTACGAACTACCTTTTTTTGCTTTTTTTTTTTTTTTTTTTGAAACAGGGTCTCACTCTGTCACTCAGGCTAGAGAGCAGTCACGGCTCACTGCAGCTTTGATCTCTCGGGCTCTAGTGACCCTCTTACCCCAGTCTCCTAAGTAGGTAGAACCATAAGCACGTGCCACCACATCCAGCTGTTTTTTTATTTTTATTTTTATAGAGATGAGGTCTCGTTATATTGCCCAGACTGGTTTCAAACTCCTGGGCTCAAGCAATCCTCTCTCCTCCTCAGTCTCTCAAAGTGCTGGGGTTACAGGTGCAAGCCACCACATCCAGCCAACGATTTTCAAAAGTTGTTTAATTACATATAACACATAATTTCATCAAGATCTACTGCATCTAAGCTACTTGCCTCTTTACCTAGGGGGCCCCAGACTGCCATGTTTCTCCTTTCTTACCTGCTTTCCACAGTCATCTTCTCTCTAACAGTTCCCGCCTCCTTGCTGTTTCTATGCCACTATTAGAAACCAAACACTGGCTGGGCTCAGTGGCTCAGTCTTAATCCCAGCATTTTGGGAGGCCGAGGTGAGTGGACTGCCTGAGCCTGCAGGTTCAAGACCAGTCCCAGCAACTTCGTGAAACCTCATATCTACAATAAATCAAAAATTAGTTGGGCCTGGTAGCACGTGCCTGTAGTTCTGGCTACTTGGAAGGCTGAGGTGGAAGGATCACCAGAGCCCAGCAGGTTGACACTGGGGTGGCCATGAGTATGCCACTGCACTCCAGCCTGGGCGATGGAGTGAGACTCCAACTCAAAAAAAAAAAAAAAGAAACAAAGAAAGAAACCAAATACTTGAGCTTTTCAGACTATGTGCAAATGAAAAGTAAACAGGTTCTGATTAAAAACTAACTAACCAACCGGGCACAGTGGCTCACACCTGTAATCCCCGCACTTTGGGAGGCTGAGGCTGGAGGACTGCCTAAGCCCAGGGGTTCGAAACCAGACTGGGCAACTTGGCGAGACCTTGTCTCTACAATAAATCAAAAAATTACACAGTGGTACAGCCTGTAATCCCAGAACTTTGGGAGGCTGGGGCAAGAGGATTGCCTGAGCCTGGGGGTTCGAGACCCACCTGGGCAACTTGGTGAGACTTCATCTCTACAATAAATCACAAAAACTAGCCGGGCGTGGTGGCATGCGCCTGTAGTTCCAGCTACTTGGAAGGCTGAGGCGGAAGGGTCACCTGAGCCCAGCAGATCAAGGCTGTGGTGGCCGTGAGCATGCCACTGCACTCCAGCCCAGGTGACAGAGTGATAATCCAACTAAAATAAATAAATAAATAACAAAAAAAACTAACTAACCATGATATCTCTTTTGGGGCCATAAAAAAGTTAAAAACAAACAAACCATGAGAAGTCTAAAAATAAAACGCAGAAAACATACTGCTTTGTAACACCTATTTTGTCAACTATTTTGTACACGCAGTATCTTTTTGCTTACATCCGGATATTCAATTTTGCTACTTTCTAGATTGGTAAGGTATTTCTGCAATATAATACATTATTTATACCATTAATTTTAAAATGTAGAAATAATATTTAGCCAACTAATTTGTAAAGATAAGCTTGCAATTCACCAAGAACAAAAAAAAGTGTAAAAGAAACTCTATCTAGCAAAATAAGTTCTTTTTCAGAATGTGCCCCATGCAAAAGTATGTATCTCTGAGAGAAATGAAAAACATAAAAAGAGCCGGGTTCGGTGGCTCAGCCTGTAATCCCGTGCCTTTGGGAGGTTGAGGTGAGTGGATTGCCTGAGCCCGCAGGTTCGAGACCCACCTGGGCAGCGAGACCTCATCTCTACAATAAATCAAAAAATCAGCTGGGCGTGGTAGTGCATGCCTATAATTCCAGCTACTTGGAAGGCTGAGGCAGAAGGATCGCCGGAGCCCAGGAGGTGAGGCTGCCGTGGCCGGAAGCGGCCACTGCACTCCAGTCTGGGCGACAGAGTGAGACTCCAACTCAAAAAAAAAAAAAAACATAAAAAGATTAAACTGACCAAGCATGGTGTTTCATGCTTGTAATCCCAGCACTTTAGGAGGCCAAGGTGGGAGGATCACTTGAGGCCAAGAGTTCAAGACCAGCTTGGACAATATAGTGAGACTCCCTCATTTCTACAATAAACTTAAAAATTAGGTGGGTGTAGTTATCACATGCCTGTAATCCCAGCTACTCAGGAGGCTGAGATGAGTGAACCCCTTAAACCCAGAAGTTTAAGGCTGCAGTTAGCTACGATCATGCCACTGCACCCTAGCCTAGATGACAGAGCAAGACTCTGCCTCTTTAAAAAAAAAAGAGAATAGCCAGGCTCGGTGGCTCAGCCTGTAATCCTGTGCCTTTGGAAGGCTGAGGTGAGTGGAT